AAAGAGAGAGAGAGAGAGAGAGAGAGAGAGAGAGAGAGAGAGAGAGAGAGAGAGCACTGCGGAAGAAATCGCGTTTGCATCAGACAATTACGGTGTAAAAAATTAGGACGCGGTCGTAATTTCGTGTAATCTGCGCCCGAGCAGTCCCACGGCCCACCAACTTCATCACTGTCGGCCCCTAGATGCGTTTCTTCGAGAACGCCGCGGAATTCTAAGTAAATTAAACGATTTTCCCCGCCATAAAGTTCTCGACCCGGTGTTCCACGCCTAGACAAGAGAGACGTTATTTACCGCGGGTCGTTTCCCCGTCGCGAGAACGAGACGCGCGGACAATCTTGCCGCTCTCTCGCCGAACTTACAACCACCGTCGGCTGCCACGAACTTGGACGGAATCCACGACGGTAGGAAACGCCGAGGGCCCAGTGACATTTGTCACCGTGCGAGAGATATTGGTTCTGCGCGAACTTCCCGAAGTGCGGGAAGTCGCGAGAGAATGCTGGGATTCCCTCGACGCTGCGTTAACAATCGCGCGTGGCAAAAGTCGTGCGCGCGTCCGAATTCTTCCTGGGTCAAGTTTCGCCGCGGAGACAAAGGCGATACGAGCAAGCCGTTCTCGCGGATTGAGATCATATACTTAACCCTTAACTGAGGGCAACTGTCCACCGATCATCCCGTGACATTCGAACGTTACTTGCTGAAACTATCCGACGAAGCGAATCGTTTTGTCCCACGCTCCGTCGTCTCCGTAAGTACCAACATCTTACAGTTGCAAGTAGCGATTGTGCAGATAGTTGGATAGAGTTCGCGCTCTGTCTTGTTAATCCAAAGTGATATTGAATGTAACATTCCTATTGCTGTGCTAGAGCCGATCTCGGTCTTGCGTCTTCTCCAGTCTTTCAAACAGCTTGTTTAACAATCAGTTCCACAGACACACAGTCGTTTCTTCGGTAAAAAGTTACCAGATGTTTCGCATAAAATGAAAAACTGAGACAGCTGAGGAAAAAGGAGCACATTGAGTTATGTACGACGGACTTACGGTGCGGTGAAAGGATCGGGCTAAATGGGAGCAGGTCGAGTGCTTTTAGAAAGCTCTCTCGACCGACCCTTAAATGTTACAAGAACTTCCGCTGGAATAATTCGGCACTATTATTAAGTACTTCCAAGACAAGATATGCTCAGGCCGCGAGCAATATGTCTATTTCCCAGGCCTGCGTTTAACCCAATTGAAATATTTATCGGACCGCATATTATAAACGCCCGTGCGAATACGTCATACCGCGTATAGTGTTTGACAAATATACACGTGTCACATGGGAGGGATATTTGGATCAGTATGAGTCAAGCATAACTGCAGTAATATTAACAACATGCTCGTAGAGTAAGGTCTGGGTAGTAACGTGTATATCATTCATGACATGTACACAGCACTTTCCCATACATAATTCAGAAATGGAAACAAGGTCGACCCTTATGCACCAAGTTCCAAATAGAGCGTGCCGCTCGATTGATTGTGCAGCAGCTACTTATAAATCAGTTACACCAAACTAACGCGAAGCGTTAGCAACTCGTGTAATCGCGGGAACACTTAGATATTCTGCGAAATTCGATGACGCACGAAAGTCAATTTCCTCAAAGCCCAATAAGGCACTGTGCGCGCGCGGACGCGCGTTAAAATACACCGCGCCCTTTTCTGAATGTAATTCTCCTTCACATCGTCAACCCGATCGAACGCTCCCAGACAATGTTCTAAGAAAGAATAGATAGAACAAAAGCCAGCAAATAAGTAAAAGCCATGGCGTATAACAGTTCACGCTTTGCGGGCTTGTGCTATTTCGACCGCATTTATAAACATTATGCGCATAATTGCAACGGTGTGCATCGCTATGGACGTAAGTGGGGGCCCTGGCCAGAAGGTGTGAAAATTTGAACCGACGTTCTCGCGCGCTCGGCCGGACAAGCTCGTAGAAAGCTCGCC